GCCCCTTATATATGCAAATCGATTCTTAAGGAGTAAACTCCAAAAATGTGTGCTTTGTTTCCGTGAAAGTCCTTTTACTCGATTCGGGGACTTTTGTTCTTCTCGGACAAAAGTCCCCTTGTCTGCGCAGGGCATTTACGATGGACCCTTACGTAAACCTTTACTTTTGAAAATTGCTTAGCATTAAAAATTAGTGAAACACATAACATAATCATAAATTTACATATTTTTTTTATACTATTTTAATATGCAAGTGAAAATATAAACCAAACCCACCTTTAACAACAGCATTTCTGAAAGGAAATAACTTAAATGGTTTTTCGCGGTCGTTTCGGACATTTTCAAGGTGGATTCATAGAGGACACTGCTGTTTGCTAGTAAGTGAGTGCGAAATTACAGAATATATCTATATGGTAGGTATTCTTAATACAAAGTGTAGGTATCATGTTTTTTCTACTTACCACGTTAAGAACCATGTTAGTTGCCACAATATAACATACTAGATTATTTTTTTTATTAAATAATAAAACTTTCTATTTCTTTACCACACATTTTTTTTCACGTAACCATTTAAAAAAAAAAATACGTACCTATGATGTGTATGTATTTGGATCGTTTCAATGTTTAAATTTTAGTTGGCCATGTGACGTGTATTCTATAATGAGTCAAAATTTGCACCGGGTTATAAGGGAGCGTTTCCACAGAAGCGGAAGTGCGTGGAGATCTCAAGATTTATAGATTTTATAATGAAGAATGTAGAACTATAATCAATAATAAAAGTAATGTAATGCTCTGTTGGTTTCGAGGTAGAGTTGATGATGACTGAAGAAGAATATTGATTCAGCTGTATTGTTTGAGGATTACAGACAAGAAAATACTAAAAGGTAAAGCTGGAGATGAATTATTAAAATTAAGGATTGATCGAAAAACCCAAGATAAATATGTAGATAAAAGAAAAACTATATGAGTTTCTAAAGCCAAGAAATATAAAACATGACTAACCTTAACAAGTAGCATCAAATGTTTATTTTTGTAATAAAAAATATTGATAGATGCAAATGGAGTCTCTAAATAAGCGAAGTCTGTAGCTTTTGTCACTATAAATTTACTTAAATATGTATATTAACAGGCCATGCCTCTCTAAAAAGTGTTCACAAATATTTCAGTTTCGTACTCTTTAATCAACCAACCATGCTGCCGTCAAACAAATATTATTTTCTTCACCTTGTTTTAAGGTTGAACATTTTAGAGATTTTTACACCTGACTCTTCAAGGTAGAAAACATGTACTATATGCTACTAAATTCGTATTATTTAGAATTCTACAAATGTTAAATTCAAACCTTTGTGATCCTTTGATCAGCCGTATGAAGATTTTAATGAGTGAATTTTATTGCGGACGTAAAACGGTCCTTTATCCTAAATAGAAGCAAATCAACTATGACAGATATTCCAGTACATCAGTACTCGAATACCGTCACAGGGGGACACGCTACATCAAAATATCTCAAGCCTATTGTCAAGAGCGACAGCCACTCCAAAAAGCGACCTTCGCGAAGCCATCTATCAGAATAAATCTATGATATATTTACAAGAACTGAATGCATTATCACCATTCCTAAATCAGCTATCAACGGACTCTTTTCACTAAAAGGGTGAGGTCTACTATAGAAAAGGTTGACCCCTCATAAAGACTTATCACCTCATATACAAAATAAGGTTGCACTAATCCAAGACTCCGCAAGCGATATAAAATTTTGACCAGCCAACGTTAAAGATCAAATTCCAACGACGGTCCGCCCCCGAGATGGGATCTCGTCAAAGTTAGCGGTAGTTTTTTCACAACAATCTCCTCTCGGACTTAACTTACGTTATCTCACCCACGGACGTCACGAGGAATAGAAACCCGCACGTACATAATAAAGACGATATTTCTAAAGAAATTTAAATTCGCCCGCAAAGGTCCCGAGATAGGATTAAAGATTGGGTGCCGAGATGGCCCTTTTGTGGCGACCCTTAAGAAAACATGTTCTGATATGGAAATATCTTGAACGGGACTTAATCGAGGTATCATTTGCGGGGGCGATCATTTATCAAGGAAACCGTTTATAAATGGTAATTAATCCAAAAGAACGAACCCGGTCGCGTAGCCATCAAAACTCTTTTATGTTGATATTTATTTTGCATGAGTGAACAAGCAAAATGCGTATCGTTTTACGCAGATCTAACTGGATACTTTAGGATGCGGTAGACCATACAGATTCGAATTGAAGAGGATAATTTTATCAGTGGCTATTGGAAGGGTCGTGAATCAATGCAACTGACCGGCCGAATGAATACGGCCCACATACGTGTTACAACCCTACAGTTTAAAGTCCATCGCATTTCAATGATAAAACGTTCAATATTAACTTTCGAAATTACAAAAATGTAGCCTGACAATCCTTCATTAAATTGTAAGTCAAACAAAAGAGGCCAAACACTGGACCCAGCGTAGCACTTGATACAATATTTATTTTGATACAAATAAGTGACGGCCATAGGTTCTCCGATGCTTTGTGATGATAATGAGCAAAGCGACAGCAGCGACACCATATGCACTTCGTACCGTCGCCTCGGTTGAATGGGTCTTTGTACAAAACCTAATTCAAACATGGAAACGACGATTTCAATGTTCTCCGCACGGCATCCACTCCATCGGTAGTTAACGCGTAACATAGATTTAGTCTAAATATAACTATTAGTCCCATCGTTAAGAGACACGCGATAGGCACGGGACAATCTTCCCCTCACCTTCCCAATACAAAACCACGACGTCACTTCTAAAATTAAAACCCACTTATTTAACCCCGCCACTTAGCCACCTTTCCGTTCGGTACAAAAACTAAATATATCCACGGCCATTGTGTCACGCTCAAAGAAGTTCCATAGGTCACGGCGAACGCATGAGCGTGTACCACGTGTCATGAACACGCCAAACATTTTTTATCTTTGAAAAAAATTATGAAAGGCCGCTCCTAACAATGGGACTTCGGTAGCATCTTTGACAATTATAATATCACAGTCAGTTATTCATAAAAAGCCATTAGTGGCAAGAAAATCTTGCTTCCACATTCAACTTAAACACATTTGTGATAAAAGTAAAAATTCATATTACCGTTCTCATTAACTTAGGACTTTTTAGAAGCAAAGTTGGCGTGGTTAACGCAAGGGTCATCACAAAAGGCAGAAGATAACAATAAACGTACGTCGATCGTGCGCTCATGCAAATACTTTTTTTTCTTCCAAAACATCCCCTTTATCTCTTTATACAAGGATGGGGTTAATTAATATGTACAAAATAATACAATTAAAATTAAGATCCCTTTTTTAAGTTGGCGCGAGGTCGCGACTTACTGTCACCATTAGAATTATGATCGTGTTTTGACAATAAAGTTTGTATGAATGCGGTTTTAAAGCTTGAATAGATTTATGGAGACACACTCTTTGTTTCTGGTTATCAATTTAATATATTTAGTGACGTGTTGTTGCGAGGGAACCCCTTGCTTTATTGAATATTATCGGTTTGACAGCTCACTCGAAGGGGTTAATATGAACGTTCAGGATAAACTCAATAAGCCGAAACAACTGGTGTCGAAGTGAACCTGCAATTGACATTTCTATGATAGCACGGGCTATTATGAAAGCGCAATAACTATTGTAACTGTTACACCATATTGTTCACTTTCTATTTTTGTCATAGAAATCTATTTAAAAGGGTATTTTTTTCTAAATATGTTTGTGTAAACTTGTTTGTATTCAGTTTAATGTTTTCACGTGGCTTAATTTGAGAATGATTATCTAAATCTAAACGAAAAATTTAAAGTACCATAATATCTGTAATCATGCTTTATTAAAATTACAAAGTGGTAAGTACTGTTAATTTAGTTTTCAGGTTAACGAATCACGCCAAAATAAGTGCCATTCCTCAAAGTGCTACAGAAGTAGCAGTTAAAGCTGTTTTGTCCGATCAAATTTCTATTTTCACAAAGCGCCGACAAAATGCGGGTTGAAAATCCCGAACGGTGCACAATTTTCGGGTTTAAGAAAGCTTTTGTTGTGCAACTGTTTAATACAAAAGTGTCAAATGACGGCACATCTGCCGGCACAAAGGGTTACGGATAGATTATTTTTCGAACCACCCCCGCAAGATTGCTCGCTTATACAGATGTTCAGAATCTTCATTTTTTATTTAACGCTGTTAGCGGGCGAGGATTAGTCAAGCTAATTCCTTAACACGGACTGTATTTCTAAATTCTACTTTTTCAAGTTTACGTTCTTTCTTATAAAAAATATTCAGTTGCCTTTACCTTTTCTTCGTACAGAAAACTCGAAACATCCTGTTTGACAATGAGTCATGGATGTGACAGTATTAAGCCCCAATCCAAAATGTATGGACGCACCATGACGTAGGCAGTAGTGTCCAGCATTGTTGTGCAACATCTTGCATGACGCAATACAAAAGCATTAGAACGTGAAGATAAAATTGCCGGAGAAACTCCTTTAGCGATTGCAAGAATCATTAATAAAAATATTTAACGCCAAACTTGTAAAGACGATGACGTTTAACTTATAAATAAAATGAAATTTGTCGCACGTGTTTGTTAGTCAAGCCTTGTTACTGTATTAAAGAAAGAGTATTAATAGCCGACATTTTTATCGGGTTACGTATCAGCTGCTGTGTTTGTGAGTAAAGGTAAAAAAGAGCTCAAATGATATAACATGATAACTATGATTCTTCATGATTTACGAGTTCTACGCGGGATTTTATTGAAATTCCTATTGTTATACTCAATGTTATTGCCAAGATAATGAGTAATACAGATTTATTATACAGAAATCAAAGGATAATATAATACCAAAAGCTAATAAAAAAGTACCCTATATAGTTCATCAATTTATACGATATGTGAGGGTAATTTAGATTTTTCTGCAACAAAATATCAGAAGGATAAGACTCACCACTGTGCATTGTATTGGATTCTGCATCGACCACTTCTGTTCTGGACTTTTTCTGGTCTTCGGGTGACCCAGAAGTGTCCATGTGTTCTTGTTTGATTTTAGGCTTGATATCTTCATCAGGAGAACTCGATGGCATTGGTGATGTCGATGCTCTTCGCTTCGGTGTAGACGTTTCAGTATCCGCTTCTGTATCAAGTTTAATATAAGTATTAGTTAAAATCCTTAAAACGTAAGCACATATAAATTTTACACCTTCTCGATCAGACCATTCATTTGTTTGTACAAATGTGACATGCAGATGTTTATTAGTCTTAAAGGCACACATTCCGATTTTAAGATACAGTTTACCGAATAATTTTAAAATCTGAAGCATGACTAGGGATTATATGTAATAATAATACTAAATTACCGTCTAATAGCCGCTTCGGTGTACTCGATGCACCGCCATCTTCTATAAGGTCAGGGTGGGCTATTGATGGACTCGCCAAAGGAGGGGTGTGCACTCTGCTATTAGGCGGCCTCCTGGCAGTGAGCAGAGAAGGCCTCCTACTACTTGAGTTACTTGTTGACATTTGACCTGGTCTTGAGCCATCTTCTGGGTCTGAGTTGGGCCCTGGTAAGACAACGTTTTAAGTTAAACATGACGTGACTGACTTGAATATTATTTACAGCTTTATGAATATTAAAGTTATTATCTCCGTATTTCTGAATAGGTAAGAGTTGTTTTATAGAGATGTATTTCAAATCACTGTTGTTTAAAGGTGCGCTTGATTACAATTCTGTTATGTTTCTTTAAACCTGGTAATAGAATAAATTAATGTAAATATTATGTATATAGTATCTGTATGAGAAATTACAATGATCATGCTAAATATTTAGAACTTTACTGTAGAGTGTGCTGTTGAGCAAATTTTGATCATTAATTGTAATTAATATAGTCGTGTAGACTATCAAAAAGTATCGCAATTTGAATTTGTAACTAAATGCTTTATTATTATTTTCTAGACTGCCTGTATTGTAATTTTAATTTGTAACACAGAGCATAAAGTTCAAAATGATGCTTGTTTCTTATTTTAAGAAACATTCGATAACTTAGCTACAACTATAATTAACTTACTAACTGCAGGAGAAAGATACCGGATCATGGTGCACAATCGCTGATAGCACTATGTATCTATTCTATCACATTAATAATAATAATACTAAAGAAAATTTTACTAGAAAAAATTCCACGCGAACCAGGCCTTACATGAGATTTAAACTTTTTAATACTATATAAATTAAATTAGTCAATGATTTTACTTGAAATCATTGACTAATTTAATTCTAACTGTAATGGTTAAAACATTACCTTCAAATTTTTATCTACATAAAGGTGTTTAACCTTTATGTAGAGAAATCATCTCACAATCTCCCACTTATCTCAAATCACCCCAGAGAACTTTTTCAGGCTTCCGAAAAAGTTCTCTAGTCTCAACTCACCGGCGCTATAGCAGTGGTAGGAGGTGAGGTCCTTGTCGCACGAGGACACTTTGTGTTGGATGAATCGTACGATGTCGGCGAGGGCGAACGCTCGCCTGCAAGCGCCGCACGTGAGGGTGTCGGCTGGTACTCCAGGCGTTGGAGACCCTCCGCCTTCTGCCGCGCTGTCCGCATCCGCTGCGAGAAGAATCAGTTGTTAAACATCTCTTAAATTACGCGCTACTTATCAACCTTAAATGGTTTACCCAACTACAACCACGATGAATCGAAAATCATGGAGATATGACTAAAGATTTAAAGATATTAAATATGAGCAAAATGGTTTCAGATTTGTCTCTTAAACAATTGTTGCCAAAGTACGCGGTGCATACTTAAAGAAAAAATCTTAAATTAATAGCGTTTAAATGTAATTTAATGTCAGAACAGTCACTAATATCGAGATCGAGGTCCATTCAGGGGAAGTGTACATTTTGTTGATAATTACAACACTGTCAAAGGGAAACCTGTTCATATAAATAAATGTGCTTAATACCACACCGAGTGCTCGAAAAAAAATATGAATAAATGTCTGGCAACATTCGGTCATGCGGCGACATATGGACAATGTCACTTTCTTCAACCCTTTCAGTTTTGGATTGCATTTAATTATCGGTTGTGCATTCACGGCTCTCAAAATGAGGTGTCAGTTGTGGCACTGACCACTTATGCTTAAATTAAGCTCTTTTTATGTCAATTCGGACTTTAGACTTCAACTCTCCTGTTTTTGTAATAAGGTTCACAATATGAGCATTCTCACTGTTTACAGAGATAATTACAGTATTTACTGCCTTTTTGAAAGGTGTATTTTGTTACTTTGTGTTGGAATCGATCATTACACCTCCGGCCGTGAAGGCGACAGATGCTCTAAATTATATTATTGATGTCTTTTTCGCTTTCTCTCGAGATAATCTTTATTTGTTATGTATTCAAAATTACTGAATCTTTCTACAAATTTAACTAGTGGCATTATTCAAAATAAAAGTTATGCATTACAAAGCAAATGATCATAAACAAGATAACGGATTGAAAATAGGAGTTTTATATTTTAACTGCTGTTCATTTTTGTCTTAAATATCTATAAAAACGGGCCAAGTATGTGTTGTGCCACGCGCAGTGTAGGGTTTCGTAGTTGCCTGTCGTTACCATAATATATTTGAGCAGGAGTCTTTATTTACTGTATCAGAAATAAAAAAAAAACAATTAATATCAAACCATGTATCTCAACTTTTAAATCCTCCCAGGCGGAGGTGAAAACGTAATAAGAGCGCGGTCTAGAAGCAGTTGTCGTTTGTACTCGCAGTAGCTTTGTGAAACCAATGATATTTTATTGTGGTTTTTTAATATTTTTTTTAGATTTTGTTTTTCAATGTAAGCTTTTACGCTACCAATAACTTCGTCGATGTCACTATTAATGTTTTCTTCTAAGAAATTTTTAATAGGAAAGAAATCATTATCCGATGTTGTACTACTAATTACTGCAACACTAACAAATCTATCATAACCGTTATAATTTTCCTTAAAATTTCATAAAAAGCAATATTTTTATCATGATTTTTTTCAGGTATTTAAAGCCAAATTTTAAATAATTTAGCTTATGTTACGTTTACGTTTAGCCAGTAGTTTAATTCGTGTATAATAGACAAATAAATACTATTAGATGTATTCGCTAAAAGCTTATCATTACAATAAAATTATCATTCCGTCAACCGATACGCATTGTTGCATACACATGTTTTTTTTAACTTTTCTATTCATTGCATCGCAAGCAGACCCAAGAGTTAAGAAACTTTTATTTGCATATCATGTACCTAAACGCATATCATCGAGAACGCATATCTCTCTTCGGGTGATCAGAGGGCTGGCAGCTATTTCGCGCAGAGAATCAGTTTAGCCATTCAGCGAGGTAATACTGCCAGTGTTCTGGGTACCATGCCCCAAATCGGAATTTCGGATGACATATTCTTCTTGTTAATATGTATATTAATATTTTAGGGTAAAATTTTAATGATAAGTTTTTGGTTTGATATTGTTGTGACGTAATTATAGTTATTTGTATAATGAAGCCATTGTATACAATTTGTTAAATTTATCCATATCTAAAGAAAATATTACTAGAAAAATTCCACGCGTACCATATCATCGAGTACATAAAATAAGAACTAAATAAATTAGTATATATATGAAAAGCACACATAAACGTAGTAGCTCTCACCAGTGAAATTATAAAGGTACTTTCGTACATTCAAGTAGTACAATTGGCCGGCAAACATCAAAGCAGTGCGCAAGCTAATTTCAGGCCATTGCATACCCTTAAGATCCTATTATTATTACTTAAATTCCTTTGTGAGAATTGAAGAAGTAGGTTGTACCTCAGGGGTTGGTTGTTGTAACATGAGCACTAAATTAATATGAAGAAAAAAAAATATCCCTGTTTACTTACACCGCTTGCACAGAGGGTTTGTTATGTAAATGTAATAGTGTCGCGCTATATTGATGACTTTTTTATATTTTCGTCAAACAATGTGGCTCGTGGCAAATGGCTTTGTTTTTAAATGCTTCCTAGAGGAAGTGGGGACTTCCGTTGATTTATGAGACGTTTAACAAAGTAGCTATGTTTAAAAAATATAAAGCTGTTTTTTTAATATTATCTGTATTAAAATGTATCAAACTATGGAAAACTATTTTAAAATTATCTATAATTTGCACAAACTAGTACTATTATTTGAAAATCCTATAGTTTCAAAACAAAATGAAAAAAAAACTTATTAAAGCCAGAACTATCGTCAATAAAAAAAAATATACTCATATCAAGTAACTTTAACACGCATCTCAATGAATATTTGAATCTTAAAATAACATCATTGTCACGTATATGAAACAAAATAAACGAGAAAACATAATAATCAACCACCTATACCTAAACGAGAGAGTCCAATCAATAGATTCTATCAAAGCATTTCGGACATAATCGAGCCCCGATGTTCGTTTACGTGGAAACCCGAGTACTGCACAGTGGATCAACTCGTTGGCCACTCCCACCTCCCGCCACTGGACACCGGACAGTGGTCAGCTACACATGCGCCGTGAACTAAATATTACACCCACACGATTTGTTTCCACTTTGTCGTACATTGATTTATTGAAAGTATCGGCGAGGGTTGGTTAGAGGTAATGTTTCATTGGTTTGTTTGCTTTAAGGTGGGTAGGTTGAATTGAAACTTCCAAAGCCGTTTTGTTAGCTGTTATTAACTCCCTTTGTATGTATTTAAAATTCAAACCAATCCATACCTAGCACTATTAATATATTTTAGAGTACCAAGTGGTAAAAGGTTATTGAAAATATTTTTTAAAATGCTATCTGCGCACAATTCTATTTGATTTCATTTTAAATTGAATTTCATTTAAAACGGCATTTGATTATTTCTTATGTTATCGTATCGAATAGTAGATTCTGGTTCTGATAGAAAAGGTATAAATTAAAAATTAAAGCTGCCACGAGCTTTAGGTTTCACTTATTGAAAAATGTCTAGTCGCAGTCGTCCGACGCCTCAGGTGACGATGTAGGGGAGACACCCTCCAAAAGGAGTGGAGACCGAAAAGTTTAAATTAGCTCGTTACTACACACAGCGCGACATGTCAGTTATATCTGACTTTTGTTTTTTACACAGAAAAGGTCAAAAGCGTCGAGCAACTTGTGTGTTAAGGGAACTTTCGGCAGCACCATTAATTATTAATTGTATTTTGTCCGTTTCGGCTGCGGGTCGTAACCACTGTTCATTTGCAAAACGTTGTTAGAATAAAGTCTTGACGTGTGCTCATTGGCTTTGGTTTGAAAGTATTTTATTTATATTATCGTATTGGTCCGTTATACTAGGTTGATCAATTTAATTATACTTTACAAGCAGTTTTATTTTCATTGATTTTTTAATTTTTTACTGTGTGACATGTTTGGTCATCTCATAAAACAAATCGTAATTCAACATTACATAGGTCCTTCTGCAATAATTTTCGATACACAAAGTTTTGCTCAAAAAAATCTTATTCACAATTATACTGGATTGATCGGCAATTTCAAACTCAACAAAAAGGTGTCCGAATTTGACACAATCCTGACCACCATATCGAATATTAATTGGCAGGGGATCGCGGACACCCCATTGTGGTGTGCAACGAAATCGAACGTTTTTCACAATAACAATAGACATAAAAATAATATGAGACCGCAAAAGCGTGGGTGTATTATTGTTACACCCAGTTATTATAAGTTGCCATCGCGAGTGCATTTTCAATCAAACGTTGATCCAAATGATTGATGTAAAATATCAAGAGAATGATGTTAGAATATTATGCTATGAACTAGCAGACAGATGCTATAAGGTATATCATCTCGCACTAAAAGTATATATTAAAAATTCTTAAACTATACTACGTAATTCCAACTCAACGAAGTCAATATAAGTTCTACTTAAGTAGTTATACTTATTAATATAAGTTCTACTTAGTTCTAATTGGCAAAGAACTCTTATCAAATAAAAAACAATTTCTAAAACCATCACTTATGATTCTAAGTGAGGAATTATATCTCTCTACTTATACAGAGATATAATTTATATATATTACAAACTAATAAGCCTTTAAGTCGTCCCAGCGCAATTGTAGACACAGACATACATTTGTCTAGTCATCGGAGTTTAAGTGTCACTTCGTCTCGATATGTAATAGGCGTAAATATTACCAATATCGAGTAACTCATATTTTGTTTCCAATAACACAATGGCATACCACATTTCAAATATTATAACTATGATAAATATAAGAATAAGTAGATTATGTAAATATCTAAGCACGTACATTTTATGGTCTGATGAACAGTTTGACAAAGTTGTCCACTACTTATTTAAGATAATTATTCTATGAAATCAAATATGAAAGAAAAATGTAGCTTATTGATTTCCCTGTCTGTTCTTAAGGTTGATGAGGGGGGAGGTGATATATTTTATAAAAATGAAACCTTTGTTACCCGAAAGATTAAAAAATTATAAGATGATGCATAACATCACCAAGATATTACCTATTTTTAAAATCTTATTTCTGTAAACTTGATTCGCATTCCTATCGGGCATTTTCAATGCGTTTAA